TTTCTGAATTTCAAAATACTGCTGACATTTCAAAATTTAAAAAATAAACAGGAAATCCCACCTCTCTCCCCACAGTCCTGCTTTTCAACCAGTGAGAGAGGGGGTACAATAGTTTGAATTGCACACATTTTAATTTCTAAAATCTTCAATATTAAAAAAAAAAAACCAGACCAGGAACAAATTGGAAACATTTTCATGATTTTTTTTCCAACCAGTTTTACTCCTGATCGAGTTCCAATCTCAGGGCTTGTCTTCACTATGGGCTAAATCGGCGCTGCTGAAATTGATGCAGTGGCGTCGATTTAGCGGGTCTGGTGAAGATGCAATAAGTTGATGGAAGAGCACTCTCCCGTCGACGTAATTACTCCACTTCAACGAGAAGCGGAAGCTATGCTGGCAGGAGAGCATCTCCAGAAGACATAACGTGGTGTAGACACCGCATTCTGCCATATATTTCATGTTATAGCTGTCTCGGACGATGACAGAGCACATGTTGTTCATTTTAAGAACACTGTCACTGAAGATTTGACAAAACACAAAGAAGGTACCAATGTGAGATTTCTAAAGATAGCTACAGCACTTGACCCAAAGTTTAAGACTCTGAAGTGCCTTCCAAAATCTGAGAGGCCTGAGGTGTGGAGCATGCTCTCAGAAGACTTAAAAGAGCAACACTCTGATGCGGAAACTACAGAATCCAAACCACCAAAAAAGAAAGCTGCTTTGGATAGTTATTGAGCAGAACCCATCATCAGCATGGACGCGTGGCCCCTGGAATGGTGGTTGAAGAACGAAGAGACATATGAATCTTTAGCACATGTAAATATCTTGCGACACCGGTTACAACAGTGCCATGAGGATGCCTGTTCTCACTTTCAGGTGACATTGTAAACAAGACGTGGACAGCATTATCTCCTGCAAATTGTAACCAAACTTGTTTGTCTGAGCAATTGTCTGAAATAGGACTGAGTGGACCTGTAGGTTCTAAAGTTTTACATTGTTTTATTTTTGAATGCAGTTATTTTTTGTACATAATTCTACATTTGTAAGTTCAACTTTCATGATAAAGAGATTGCACTACTTGCAGTACTTGTATTAGGTGAATTGAAAAATACTATTTCTTTTGTTTTTTACAGTGCAAATACTTGTAATCAAAAATAAATATAAAGTGAGCACTGTACACTTTGTATTCTGTGTTCTAACTGAAATCAATATATTAGAAAATGTAGAAAACATCCAAAAATATTTAAATAAATGGTATTCTATTCTTGTTTAACAGTGCAATTAATCGCGATTAATTTTTTTAATCCCTTGACAGCCTTCGTATTAACTGATTAATTAAAAAGGATGCTAACAAGATGAGTCTGTACTGATTAGAATCTCTCAGGACCTTTCATTGTTCTAACCACTGTCCTCCACCCTTTGTTTATTGTCATTCTTTGCTGTGTTATTTAGATCAGAATCTCTCGGGGTAGAGACCTGCCTTTCCCATCTGTTAAGTGGTGCTCTACAAATAATGATTATAATAGCAATAGTTAATTATTGATGTTGCAAAGTAATAGTCCCAATCCCAATCTTGATTGTGGGACCATCTGGCCTCCATCAGGAACGTCCCCAGCCTAGGAATCCACAGGATCTGCTTGCCCACTTGCAGCCTTCTGCGGCAGCCACAACAGAGTGCACTGCTGGGCCCAGGTTCCCTGATGGAGTTGGGCCCACCTTTACATCCTGTAGCTGCGAATCACCAGCTCCAATCACTAGATTCTGTCCCGCTGGGTTGGATGATTCTCACCAACTACCTGCTGGGCTCCTCTCCAGAACAGGGCTGGCTGTTCCCTGGTACTCTGGCCCTTAAAGGGGCAGACTGGCCTGTTTACAGTGCTAGGGCAACAGGTGAATTCCCCCCCAGCTACTGCCACTTGGGGAGGTGGAGTACCTAGACAATGAGAGAACCTCTCTCATTGGCATAGGTGGCGTATTCACTGTAGCTGTTTATATGTAGACAAGCCCAAAAACTTTACCAATATGTAACGATCCAGAAGCAGAACCAATGAACAGACGAAGGTAAAGACTGTACTGGTGCTAACCCAAAGCAGGGCCAACTCTGTCTGCCATGAAGAGCCACTCTTGTGCATTGTCCCATACAAAACCTGTGCAATAGCAATGCTGAGCGTTACTTTTAAAATTGGACTCTGGTCTGTCAGCCACACCCACGTGTTTTGGGACAAGTCTTTATTTGATCATTTCCCCCCAACTGGCCCTTTTTATCACATGTGAAAAACCAACATCATCTCCACTCAGCATTGCCATGTTTATGCAAAGTTAAGACAAAGCAATGGGAGGCACAGTACAGTCCTTACCATCTGCTCAACAAGGATTTGCAGCAGCAAGTTGCTTTTGCAAGACTGGAATAAAAAATGAAACCACCCATGTAAAACATAAAGCTTCATTCATGACTCTGTTACCACCAGAGTGTGACACTGCTGGGCTTCTCTTTAGGTTGGATTCCCCTTTTGTGACCTGGGAGGACAAACTAGGGGAAGAGGCCAGAGTATCAACAGCTGAGGACAGGAGATGGTTATAAAGTCCCATCAAGTCATTGACAATGGATTGCTTGGCTTGGCACTTTTCCTCAGTCTTCTGATAGCCAACAAATCCATTGGCTTCTGTAAAAGAGTACAGGTCCTATATCCTAAGAGGAAAAGTGAATCCTACCTCAAAATGAAGAAGCATTTTCCATCTCTAACCTCTGCCTATCCAAGTATTTAGATAGCTCCCATCACCAGAGTCACTAGGCTCTTCAAATGTTAATTAAACTTAGCCTCACAGTAACCCTGGAAGACAAGGAATTCTTATCCCCATATTAAAGATGGGGAACTGAGGCTGGGAAAGACTAAGCAATCGACCCAGGGAAACTAAACTAAGCTAGTGGCAGGAATTGAACTTAAATTGCAGTTTAGTTCAAGTCAGTGCTTTAACCACAAGACCATCCTTTCTCTCTTGTAAGTCTATATTTTGTTACAAGCTACATTAGTTTGCTCTTTCACTTTTATCCTACACTAAGTGATAAATTTGTGACCCCAATGCTGAGTATATATATTCAGTTATTGTCTTTTATTAAAAAAATATGCCTTCTGCTACTGTATTGTTCAGGGTACCCAAGGCTTAAATGTACTGATTTTATCGAGCTACAGACACCATTACATCTTTACAAAGAAATATCTGCTTATCATCTCAATGGCAGCATTCAAAATGGAAGGAGAAAAGTATGAAGAAATAATGCTATTATTTGAATAGAAGGGATGAGCGATTCTGCTATAATGACACCTGGGCACAGCGAGGAACAAAGAGTAATCTCAAAATCATACAATTACCCCGTGTTCTTCAGAAAAGAATCACTTGTGCAGAAAGCACTTACAAAAACATTGGCTCAAATGGAATGACCGTAAAGGGGGAATTGGTAAACATTTTCCAAACAATTAATCCTGTGACACTCTGTATCTAAAAGCAGCACCCTGGAACCCCCATATTCACCCTGTCATATAATTATGATATATTGCACACAAAGCATGCCATGTAAGACATCATATGAAAGGTCATGATCTGCTGAAACCTGTTATTCTGTCCAAATATGTATATCATTTGTGTGTATCAAGTTATGGGATTTTGCTGTATGGTTGTTACTGAAATATGTGGAAAGTTTGCTAGTGACATACAAAGGAGGCAAACCACTCCCAGGAGGATGTTCAATGACCATTAATCAGCAGGGGAGTTGTAATCAAGGGATTTACAATTCAGTGGCAGTTGCACAAGACCACACCAGGGGGGTTGCTTAACATGTGACTCAGCAAGGCCAACCTGGACAAGTCTGGGCTAATATTTTCCAGTCACGTGGATTGAGGGTATAAAATAAGGACAGTGGCATCATGCCTGGGCCTTTCTTATCCTCCACCTATGCTGGAAGCATCAAGAATGCTGGAAAGACAAAGACTTCAATTGAGGAGACATCCAGTGGGGTGAGAAAACTGCTTGATTGAAATACTACCTAATGTAATAAGGTTTAAGATTTAGAATGTGCGTTTACCTTTTATTTTCTTTGATAACTATCTCTGACCTTTTATGCCTACCACTTATAATCACTTAAAATCTATCTTTCTGTAGTTAATATGTTTTGTATTTTACCTAAAACAGTGTATTTTGGTTGAAGTGCTTGAGCAATCTCAGCTTAATTTACAAAGGCTTGTTTATGTCCTCTCCACATTGACAGAGGGGCAGACTGTCTAATAAACCTACACTGGTCAGGCTTCTGACCAGGGAAAGATGGTACGGCTTTGGGATGCACCGCTGGAGAGATGGGGGGAATGGGCTTGTGCCTTTCTCTGTGTAATTCGTGAGTGGATCAGGGACCATTCATGCAATCTAGCTGGGTGTGGGGCTCCACATGCGGTTGTGCTGAGTGATAACAGCGCCTGGAGGGGTTTGCTGCTGGTCACTAGCAAGGCATTGTGAGAGACAGCCCAGGCCGGAGAGTTAAGGGGGCACCGCGGTCCCATAGTTCCAGGTTGTAACCCAGGGATTCCGTCACAAATCCCTCATCATTATAAGTAGTATGTAGTATTTAATAAAGCACTGTAAATTTGCAAGGCACTTTTCAGCAGTAAAAACACATGCGTCTGCCCAGAAGAGCTCACATTCTTAATGTAACGAAAGTCATTTTCCCCCAGGACAGATTTGCTGTAATCCCACTCACCACTAATGTTGGTGAAGGTGGCAGGAAAAGGCCCTTCACGAGACAAGATAAAGAAATACTATTCTAGATAAAACACAGGACAGCTGTTCAGATAAGTGAGGGTATGGATTACACAAAGCCTCACTTAAAGGATGAATCTCTACTCAAACAGGTAGTCCCACGGTAGTCGTGAACAGTGTGAGTTAGGTTTTGCGGTAATTGGGCCCACACTCATTAATACTATCTAGAGATACAAGTAAGTAAGTGGCCTTACCTTGAGATCTCGATGCACAATGCCCATTCTGTGCAGGTAGTAGACAGCATCTAGGACCTGCCGTATCAGAGTGCTTGCATCCTTCTCGGTGTAAAATCCTTTCTCTACTATGCGGTCGAAAAGCTCGCCTCCAGACACTCTGAAAAACATCATGGAATATGGAAGTGTGAAGATGTGCTTATAACTCTCTAAAGGTGCATGAGTAATTACCCAAGGTTCTGGGACGACTCGTACAGCCCATATGGAAGCCGATACAGCCCCAGTTCCACAGCGCTGGCAACCAAGCTAGCTAGACTAAAGCCAGGCTACGTGTCAGCAATGTACATATACCCTAAACGATGGCCAATGAGAGTAGGGTGACCAGATGTCTCGTTTTTATAGGGACAGTACGGTTTTGGGGGACTTTTTCTTATATAGGCGCCTATTATCCCCCACCCTCTGTCCCGTTTTTTCACAGTTGCTATCTGGCCAATCTAGATGAGAGTACAGAATCTGATTCAGTTCAAGCAAGTGATTGTCTAGTGCTATGGGGATGCTCAGACAAAGTAGAAAAAGCCTCAAATATTAGGATTTTGGGGGGCTTCCCATAGCACAGAAGCTGGTCAGTTTGCTTTTAACACTGAATCCACCCTAATGGGACAAAAAGGTTGATTGAAAACAATAAGGTAATAATTATAAAACAAAAAACATCATGACTACCCTATTATAACAGAATGGCCCATCTAGTCCAGTATACTGTCTCGACAAGGGCCAAAGAAAAAGTATTGGGCCAGACTCACTAGGGCTAGCTAGCACAGGGTAATTACACTTTCCTAGGCCATCAAGATCCATGAGTAGATGAGGAAGGACAGGGAATATTTCTGATACTGCCCAGCTGTAATGCACTTCGTGTGTGGAAGTTAAAGTCTGACATCGCCGTCTAGTGGCTGGCCCAGGACGATTATAAGGGGCTTACTACTGTCAGCAGCTTGACTCATGCTTTAGTGGTAAAGACTTGTGTTTTTGGAGCTGGAGGGCAGGGTTCTATTCTTCTTCCCCGTCTGTGTGAGATTTATACAGTAATTGTGTCTGATACCTACAGCACATTCATTCATTTTACTGCTTTGGGATTCCTACTGGGGAGAAGAAAAGGGCAGCCTCTTCCAGAGACTTCACCATTTTACCCATTCCTACTTGTTCATATATCAAAACCTAGACACACGCTTATGTTACAAGACTGTTGGGCGAGCCTGGCCTCAGACTGACTGGCAGAGCACAGTTATTAACGAGAGAACAAAGATTATGAGATCAGTTCCCCACCAGGTAACCCAGACTGGGAAAGGGTTCCATAAATCAAAGAGAAAAATAAAATGGAACCATCCCAATATTATACTTGTACTACATTACACTTCTCTTCTGCTCTGCTAGAAATAACATGCTCCTTCACCCATCTTACATAAAGAATGGGCCACATTAAACATTTTAATGGAACTTTCTGTGAAAAAAAGAGGAAGGTCTTTACTAAGCTATTGAAATCATAAAACTGTCAGCAAGAAACTTTAACTGCCCCACCAGGACAAATAAAAGATTTCTATTTTAGCAGGCAAACAAATTAAAAAAAATAAAATTAATGTGATATGTTTTCTGCAAGCTGTACCACTTAACATATAATAAATAACAGACTGAAATGTTCTTTAAAAACAAACCTAATAAAGGAAAAATAATAGAGTCATTAAATGCTCATATGGGGGGAGCTTTACATTATACAAACACTAGGTAATTCAGTTGCAGGCACTCCAAGCAATAATCTGTTTGAATAATGATATGAGATCACTTCCTAAGGAAAGTTAGGAGCTGAAACAGAAGAGAATACTGCCCCTGGAAATTAACATGTTCAACTTGGAAACTGAAATGAAATCTAGGAGAAAACAGCCATTTAAACTGAATAATCCACCAATTAGTTACTAAGCAACTAAACTGAATGAGCCACTGAAATATTGAAACTAAGATGAAATTATTCAACAGATGTGAAATTCACTCAGGGCCTGGTCCAAAGCCCACTGAAATAAATGGAAAGGCTCTCACTGGCTCCGATAAGCTATGGATCAGGCCCCATGTGAGTCCCCTCTGTGTCACTTAATCTTTGTACTTCCACACTGAGAGCAGGGCTGGAAGCCCGGATCCACAATGGTCATGCAGAGGCTCTCTGCACTCCCTATGCACCATAGAGGGGGCTCTGTGCTGGCCACAGAAACAGACTGATGCAGAAGGTGGCAGTATAGGGGCAGGTTGGCAGCAAGTTGGGTGAGGGGCTCCTGGTCCATTATGTAGTTCTAGCGGCTATAACATCTAGCCCAGGTGGCAAGGAGGTACCACAGCCTACGGCTGCTGCAGCTGCAGAGAAGGAGATGTGATGCAGCTCCACACCCTGGATTGCGGTGATTTTTGTCCACTCTCCATCCTGGGCATTTCATTTGCATAAAGTCTGAATGCTCACCCTATCAGAATCCTCCTACATAAAGATTATCTGGTTGCTACAATAGGAGCTATATAATGAAAAGTGAATAGATACAATGGACAGGCAGGTGCTGAATGCTGCCCCAAATCCTTGGCTTTTAGATCCACATTCAATATAAAATCCAGCCAGACTCCATTCTCCTTGCCATGGAAGAGTCTCCTAAATGCTGTGCAAAGAATCTATTTCTCCATCCGCAGAAGGCAGATACAGTTTTATTGAATCTGGCTTTTATTAACTGCCTGTCTTTTCATATTTTCCCCAACCCCTCTTGTACCCTCTGGATTCACTGCACTGAAAATTTAGTCCATGCCATAATTAATGTGATTGAATACAGCATGTTTTCCTATGAAATCTCTGTGTGCTTTGTTGTGCACTCCACACAGTTCCTTGGTTTTTATTCCTGAGATATACTGCTTTACTAGACACTGATTTACAGCATGTGCTTTTATGTGCAAGGTCTCTCTCCTCCCTTACTCCCAGAGAGAATAACTCCCTACTATTTTTAATCAGAACTACTTGAGATTTCCCACACACACACACTCCACAAGTCCTTTATCTCTTAATCAAAAGCTCTTCTAACTTGAATTTAGTTCAGTTGATCTACTGTACCCAGGCTCAGTCTGTTTATAATTTACTTTCAACACACGGAATATATTTTCAGCCTATTGAATGCCGCATTGCAAAACAGAGCTGAAATGCAGACACACAAGATAGATATTCCCTGGGTGGTTACCTCTTACTAATTCAGGACATGACTGTGACACCAAGTATGCATCATGCAGGGACCAAAGGGGGCATATGGCAGCCTTTACTCTCTTGTATGGGTTACCTGTATTGCAAGTCCAAGGTCATGTGCACTGGCACAAGACACTTTGGCCTGGTCTACACTAGGCTTTTATGTCGAATTTAGCGCCGTTACATCGAATTAACCCTGCACCCGTCCACACCATGAAGCTATTTAGTTCGACATAGAGCTCTCTTAAATTCGACTTCTGTACTCCTCCCCAACGAGAGGAGTAGCGCTAAATTCGAAATGGCCATATCGAATTAGGCTAGGTGTGGATGGAAATCGACGCTAATAGCTCCGGGAGCTATCCCACAGTGCACCACTCTGTTGACGCTCTGGACAGCAGTCCAAGCTCGGATGCTCTGACCAGCCACACAGGAAAAGCCCCGGGAAAATTTGAATTCCTTTTCCTGTCTGGGCAGTTTGAATCTCAGTTCCTGTTTGGACATCGTGGCGAGCTCAGCAGCAGTGGCAACGATGCAGAGTTCTCCAGCAGAGGTGACCGTGCAATCCCAGAATAGAAAGAGGGCCCCAGCATGGACTGATCGGGAAGTCTTGGATCTCATCGCTGTGTGGGGCGATGAGTCCGTGCTTTCAGAGCTGCGCTCCAAAAGAAGGAATGCTAAGATCTACGAGAAGATCTCTAAAGCCATGGCAGAGAGAGGCTACAGCCGGGATGCAACGCAGTGCCGCGTGAAAATCAAGGAGCTGAGACAAGGCTACCAAAAAACCAAAGAGGCAAATGGACGCTCCGGATCCCAGCCCCACACATCCCGTTTCTACGAGGCACTGCATTCCATCCTAGGTGCGGCCGCCACCACTACCCCACCACTGACCGTGGACTCTGAGGATGGGATATTGTCCGCGGCCGGTTCCTCGTCGGACATGTTAGCGGACGGGGAAGATGAAGAAGGAGATGAGGAGGACGAGGCAGTCGACAGCGCTGGCACCGCTGATTTCCCTGACAGCCAGGAGCTCTTCATCACCCTTACCGAGATCCCCTACCAACCGTCCCCATCCCTTACCCCGGACACAGAATCAGGGGAAGGATCAAGCAGTAAGTGCTGTAAACATGTAAACATTTATTTTTAACAGAACGGGAATATTTATAATATTAACAATGTGTTTTGACTAAAGTGCTTTAAACATGTAAAAAATTATCTGCAACAAAACTGGAATATTTACAATGGTAACAAAGGGTTTCTCATGATTTGTCTGCCTTAGGCTCTTCACAATTTAGTCCCAAGTATTTAAAAAAAATTTTACAATGTCCGGTACTTGATGATTCTGCGGCCCAAGACGCTCCACTCTATAGTCCCAGTGCACCTACGCGAAAATCCGGTCAATATGGCCGGGGATTGAGGCGAAATCCTCATAGGAGAACTCCTCGTAGGTCTCATGGAGGTAGATTTCCAGCCTGTTCATCAGGTTCCCGGATAGGGCGATTTTATTGGGCCCTCCGTGGTAGGAGACGTTTCCCCGCCACGACACAATCAAGTACTCTGGGATCATGGCATGGCAGAGCATGGCAGCATACGGCCCTGGTTTTTGCATGCTTTCCCTAAGCATGCGTTCCTTCTGGCTGTCCGAGATCCTCAGGAGGGTGATGTCGCTCATGATGCCCTGCTTTGAATTAGGGAGGGGAATGTTAGTATTGGGACTGCTTTACAGCCACGCGGTGGAGGGAGAGGGGCAGCATACAGGGATCTTTCCCTGGGACAGCCGCGAGGGGGTGGGACAGGGGCAGAGTTGATGCTGTCCTGATTGCTGGCAGCAGAGACTGGCATTGCTTTCAATGTGAAAGGAGGCCAGTGCTACTATTACAGTTTTAAGCAGCCACAAGTCTACGGCTTAC